ACGCATACACCAGAAATATGTCGGCCTCACCATTCACTGGAGAAGTTGGGTTTCAAGACGTACGTCCTGAATGAGAGAGACACAGCTCGGGGCTTGCTGCTTCCCCTCCAAACCAGCCCAGGGACTGGCACGTACAACCCCTTTACTCAGGGTGTAGGTAACGTTCACGGAATTCGACGTGGCCAGGGAAGGGAGCTCGTCTGTGCACGCGACGTGCGTGGTTACGGGGGGCAACACATCTGGGAGCTGCTAAGTAGAAACACGCCCAGTTCAGGCACCTGGGGCAGGAATCCCTCTTGGAGTTAATCCCAGTGCCAATCCTACACTCTCTGGCTGGAAACCACGAAGGAGTTGAAGTTCCCCAGCATTTCCGCACAGACTTCGACGACGCCGGGCTTTAACAGCGCCGCACTGCGTGGACAAGGTCTAAGTGGACCCCGCGGCCGCGTGCTCCTCCCCGGGAGCCGTGCAGGCAGATAAAGCGCCGCACCGATGCCGCACGCACAGCTGGAAATCCCGCCCTGCCGATGCCCCGCTGCTGACTGCAGGTATACGCAGACCCACACTCGCTCTATACTTCAAAATGAGGTATTTTTGCAGAACACTGGGAGAACAAAAGATTAAAATGCCAGAACGGCATGTTTTTATTTTATATTTAACCATCTCAGGGGCAGTAGTGCTCTTTCTTTGCAGTTTGGCTTCTTATTGTGAGTTGAAGACAAATGATTGCACTGTTATTTGCTAGTACACATAAAGAAAAATAAAATCTCTTTATAATGAATAGTATCACTAAAATACTTACACATTTACACAAAATACTTACACAGAATTTCCACGGTCATTTCAAAGTTATCTTAAGGAGCCAGTAAAATTCATTTTCATATTACTAAATTTTCCTTCCTATCATTGCTATAAGTCTAAGATTTTTTTAACATGAGAACCAGAGACAAAGCTTGTGGACAAAATGCTCATTTTGGAATTTTTTCTCATAACAGATTTACCTTTTTCCCTTGTACTTTTTCGATTAGTAGTAAATGCATCTACTTGCACAGAGGATGTATAGGCTAAAAAAACAGCGCCAAGAAGATGTGAGCCAACGTCATGCCAAAGTCTCCTTTTAACACATAATTTAAATTTTGTTAACTTTGTTTTTAAGCATTGGCTCTGCGGGTGTCTGGCAGTACTGAAAGTTATTAAACGAAATGCAGTGAGTACCAGAGCTGCTCAGGCTCGGGTTTCTTGACAGCTGTAGCCCTCGACATTTCATATCCAGATTGTTCATCTGTAAGGCAAATTCTCTGCTGTACGTAAGCTGCCCTACGAGTGTGCATGGCACTTCCAGAGAGCACTGAGAGCTCCTTCAACTTCCTTTTTCCAGGTGTTCTAGATACTTCGACATTTTCACAGGCCACAGGTATGAAAATGAGTACATATTGCAACTTTTATCCGTCATAGGAATATTAAAATCCCAGATTAGTATGTTGTTTAAGTGATGTTTAAATAACTGACTTTAGAATAGTTTTGCTTTATTAATGCTTAATGATTTTCCTGGAATAGAACAGCTTGTACGTACAACTTGGAGCTACATTTTGCTAAGAGAAAAACTAGGAGAACATATGCGTGTTTGAACCTATAGTTTAAAGGTTGTTCAGATTCTTAAAATGCTGCTTAAAACCTTTTTTTAGAAATTAAAGAGAGCAAAATTACTAAATTACTCTATACAAGTATTAATGGAAATAACAACTAACAGATAATATGTTTATCCAAGCTTGTGCTCTGTTTAAAGCTAGCTACTTCCTAAATCAGACACCACAGTCAGGGAGCTGAGAGAGGTTTTCCAGTTACTGTGTCTTCCAAAATTTTACAGCTAGTAGAGCTTATATTCTTAAACATCATTCCTAAGCACAACTGAAGAAAGTACCTTTCCTTTAATTTCTGAACTCTTAATGATGAATTCTTCAATTGGGGTTAATTAAACAAGTAAAAGAAGAGAACATTCTCTGCGTACCTGCAGAGAGCCAACTGCTAATAGATTCCAGGTGCTTTGCCACTGACAACCGTCAGAACAGTAATCTGACTTACTAACGCTGCAGCAGCCAAGTACGTGACGTGAATGTTATTACCTGTGTTCACCTCAAGCCTCTACCACGCTCGGAACTTCTGTCTCCAAACCCTGCTGTCATACTCTTTACTTAAAGAACCACTGCGAAGAAATAATGAATCTGTTTCGATTTATTAAAAATGCATGTATCCTTCTCCCACACGGATAGGAAGAGCAACGGCATGCATTTATTATGATAAATATTAATGAGAGCATCAGCTAAGGAAATCTATTTTGCATTGTACTGTGTAAGATTCAGATGGATTAAAACCGAACATAAATTGCACTGGAGCAGGTTCTATAATGATTTTACAGCTGCAATATGCCCATCCATTTCACTGAAGAAGTTTGTCACTGAATGGTTAGATCAAAAAGGAGCTCCCAGTTCTGTTCTAAAATGCATGCTTGAATGGGAATAACAAAGGGGGAAAGATCCAATTTTCTTCTTAGGTCTGCCCTAGTCAGAAACAGCTCCACCGAAGTCGCTGCAGTTACCTTACGATGAAATTAATTTCCTGCGGGATGGAGGGCAGTTTAAAAAAAAAGACAGCGAGTGCTGTTCGAGTCCGTGGGGAAGCTGCTGCTGCTGCTCTGGGACATCAGCTCTGAACAACCATGCTCGTACCCATGCCACTTCTTGCGTGTGCTACACCGCGCTGGCACACTCACAGCACCTCACCTCCCTTCCGCGCAACACTCGTACCGGGAGACCGTTAAATTCCTGCTAAAACACGGGGAGGGAAAGCACCTTCCTGACCCAACAGAGTGACACACACAAGAGCTTTGTCCTTCCTCCAAGCCCGGGCTATATGCAGAGGAAAGAGCAAACCCAGAAGAAATCAGATACATAAAGATGACCAGGAAGGTGAAGTGCCTGGACAACGTGCCCCAAGCCTTGTTCGGGGGCTGCCAAAGGAATGTGGCAACTATTGGCCGGGCTACCCAAGTCCTCTTCTCGGTTACACTGAACAAACAAGGGGCTGGCTAGCACGGAAATCCTTTATCCTAGTACTGACATCCTTTATCCAACCGTGGGACAGCAGCAGACCGCAACCTGCGCTACTGAACAGGGCCGGGCTTGTGCGTCCTGTCGCCAGGCAGATAAGCATCCCTGTGTGTCTTCCAAAACGGGTGTAATGCCCAGCGATGGCTTGTATCTCGGAAGCTAACCGTTGTTTCTGGCCCTTTCAGTAATTGCTCAAACCCACTTTCACTGCAGATTTTAAGGATGTGTCATCACACCGTGCTGTGTGTCGCCAAACAGCTCTGGCAAGGAAAGCAAAGGTTACCTGGGAACCTCTCTCTGTGCATGCTCTGTTCAGACGTTAAAGCTGTCACAACAAAGACGGTCTTTGAACTTGGCTGTACACCACTCTGCGGTTTTTTCCCCCCACAGTCTCACTAAATCCCATTTTAATGGAAATATAATTAATAATTATTATTTTGCTGCTCCAGAGGCTGAGCATTTTGTAACACAGAGCAATTACTTCATCTTTTTTCTTGGGTTTTTGGAAAGTATTTCATAGTAAGTGTTGTTAACTGATAATGACAAAAAATGGCATTTAAACCATTTTAAATAAAAGGCTTTTTTTTTTTCCCATAGTGATTTTGTTGGGGTTTCAGTGTTGGCTTTGCATTTGAAATGACTCAGTTTCTCAATGAAAAAATGACACGCAGAAGAATAATTTTAACCAAACACTTATTTTCTATATTGTATTTTTAAATCTTCCCCCTAGTAGGTGGTATCTTAATGAAAATTGTAAAAGCAAACAATCTGTGGTGTGAGAAAAATATAGCATTTGTAATTACCCTTGTTTTGAACACCTGATAAATGTCTCATACAGATGATTTCCTCGCTACTACAGAAAAATATAGTCCTCGATAGTAAATTCTTACCTGCATTATGCTCATCCATTGAAAAGGCTTTATTTTCCATGTAGCTCCGAGGAAGCTGTATATCTTCCTCAAAAGCAGTTTCACGCATCCTTGGCTGTGAAGTGTCAAAATAATTGGGAGTGTTTTCCTGCT